GAGAATTACAGTTGTGTTTTGTCCGGTTCTATCAGCAAATAACCAGAAATAATTCAGGTACAAAACTCGACGGTCTGTACTTATGCTCAGAAGAAAGAAGTGGGCCGAACCTGTCGCCTAAATCTGGCCAGCAAAGAGCCTGCGTTCGCTAACGTGGTTCACAAGCGTGCTTTGGAAGGACTTTAAGCAAAAAGGGTTACTCTTACTCTCAAGGTCAACATCGAGAGCCGATTAACCCAAACCTAGCTCAGGCGGGTGAGGGAAGGAAAAAAGAGTGTGGAAACAACATGCCCGCAGTTCATATAGGAGTTCGCAGAAGACAGACCTGAAGGATTTCCCAGCTTGTTTGACGGAAGAAAGCATAGTGGCTTACCTGAACTGGGTGAATGGAACAGTGTTACCGGTATGCGCCCGTAAAGGCATTTGATTTAGCGCATGACTCGTAACGAAATTGTCCCCAATGTGAGCGCATGGCAATATTTTAGTTCTAAAGCATCCCTATTCACTGACAGGCCTAGATACGTCATTACAAATTGGAGATTAGTGTATGTATTTGCGACTTTGCTTGGGTGCTTGATTTCGTTGGGCCGGGTGAGGCCAGGATATTTGGAGAGGTGTTGCCGAAATGTTTTCTCGTGCTCAGCGTCCAGGACGGCAAGTTGACGGGAAGTGTCGGAAGAAGAGATGCCCCGGACGGGGAGTTTGATGGTCTTGTCGTGTAAACTGCAATGACGGCAGTCGACCAGAAGATCGAGAGCGGCAATAAAGTCTGCGCCGAGAATGGCACAGAGAATGCCAACACCGACGAGGACCCCCCGGCAAAGACGCCGGAGGCCGATGTCCAGAGAGAGGAAGCAGGTGCTGTAGGTGGCGACTGGCGCTGTGGAGACGGTCCGAAGGAAGAGGCTAGGACTGGGGCAACGACGATAGACTGCTGCGGATGGTGACACTCAGCTTCGCACCATTTTCGACCAGGAAACGCCTGACACTCTGGTTGTCACGGACGCAGAAGGTACGACCAGGGCTTGAGCTGCCAGGAAGAATAGCCGCAATGATCTTCTAGCCAACTCCTTTTACCCGTTCGCACTGCTTGGAGATAAAGGAACAATGAGAGCTACAGCGACGGGCTTTAGCACCAAAGGTAATGTGATACAAATAGTTGGTGGCTGTGTTGAGACGACCTTGATGTGTAGGCTGGACATGCCAGGTAGGCGACCTCGGTTGTTTCCGAGATGAGGGAGAGGCTGTCTGCTTCTGGAGAGAGGCAGTATCTTCGGCAAATTTTGCAAACTCGGATTTCGGGTCCGAGATGGACGATGCAGGCGCAAATGAGGAAGTCGAGAGAGAGAGAGAGAGGGCAGATAGTTACGACTTGGAAAACCGTGCATCTCAATAAACCGTTCGGACAACTGGGTAAGTGTGTAATAACCAAGCGGTGAAAGTGCACTACTACCACCCAGCCAAATCCCGAGTTGGAAGGAGAAGACGGAAAACACAAAGATGAGGGATTTAATGTATACAGAACCCCGAGTCTTTCTCTCGGGCAGCAGTGGCCGCGGGCGAAGCCAGGGCTGGTGTTGACTGCGTCCAGTCAGGCTTGAGAGTCTCTGAGATAGTGGTGGCAGCCGTTTTTGTAGACTCGTGGGCCAAACTCAAGTGGCCTCCAATCGATGTGTGTTGCATTTGCCGAGGTGTACGGGAATGGACGACATCACAGGGATCTGAATCGCTTGCAAAGCCTTTACTACTGAGGAAGTGCGTACACAAGGCTCTGCAAGCAGTCACCACGAGCAGCAACCGCAGGCGATTTCAGTTTTCTCTGTCCGTCATTTGGGTTATTAGTTTCTGGCGCGTGTCTGCGCCTTCCACTCTGTCACAGTGTCCGCCGGTCAATCAGGGACATTGTTAACTGGCTTCGAGCATTCACGAGGATAGTTACCATCCTAGCGCGGTTGCAGCAGCGGATCGACAGGAAGCATGAGGCGGACAGAAGGATAGCTATACAAAGCGGTGGAGAGCAATGAGGTTCAGATGACCAGAGCGGTTTGGGCCCACATGGACGAAGCACAGTACCATATTTGGTTTAGGCAGAAAATCGCAGTCTTAAAGGTGGCATTATGAGAGCGTTCTACCTTACATTGCGGACGTAAAGGAGTTGATAGTTTCGGAATATTCTCTGTTGGGTGTCCGAGCGTGACAGTGATGTGAGCGGTCGGAATATGCATAGGACAAATCTTTTGCCCCTTACTAAATAATTACGTGTAGCTAGTACAGAACAATGAGTCCACATAGACATTTTTGCATCACGACGTCCTCAAACGGCTAAGTTCAAAGAATATCGCCGTGACAGGGTTAGAGCCGTCGAAGGACGTGACTGGATTCTGATGAAAAACTCAACCGAACAACGTAAATGTAGACTAGAAGCATTTCACGGCATTAAAACTGCTCCCATCCTTTTCTTTCTTCTTACTCAGAAAATTCGTTTAAAATTGCCGCCAGGTACAAAAATACAGCGTGAGAGACGAAAATAGGAATTCATGGGCTCACAGCGGCGGTCACAGCGTCATTCATTGGGCAAGAAAGAAATTTACGGAACGGAGGCAACGCAGACGATAGCATTTTGCGCCAAGTACAAGGTACGACTTTCCCGTCTTTGTCGTCAACAGGTCTCATGGTCTTGAACCTAAAGTCCTTCAGCGGATAAGGATGTTTCCTAACGACCTTTTCGGTGGCTAATCCGTAACCGACTGTGCACATTGAAGTAGGGATCGAATCTGCCGACTGGGTGCCAATCGGATAGTGAAGGAAAAAGACATTATTCACGACATTGGACCTCCAATAACATTGCTAATATACATAAGATTACTCCAAAGCAAATCAACAGACGACCTCTAGGGACATAGTGAGGAAGTTTACTTATTCTCATGCCCTACTGAAAGTACAGACAGCCGTCCTGATTGACTTAATTATACAGTGCGTTTGAGATAAATTCGCCACTGAAACCTCAATGTTATCTACGCCAATCGATTTTGTCTACTTTTATCATTTAAGTAGCCCGGTTGTTATCAATATCCATATGAACTAATTCGCGTGCCTGTTATCCACTGCCGTCCCCGAGCTCTCCATCCTCATATTTCACAACCCGCACCAATGTTCTGCTGTTAGGAAACAAAGTCGTCCCATGGACAAAAAGGAAATAGTGCCCTTAAATACCTAGCGGGAGGTTTTACTGACATCAATATTGCCGAGCACACAGTCCACACAATACGTCTCATGAGAAGAGGGGGCACAACAAATGCCCGTTGACTTATCGGGAGTTTTGAATACACAGCATCTATTTTTTTCGCATTCCTCAACTCTTGAACTGGCAAGCCCTAAAACCTCACCCTTCCACCTATGCCCAAAGTTCGAGGAATGACTATGGGTAGGGGGCGGGTGGTATTTCAGAATTTTGAAGATATCTTCATGTGCGACACACTTCACCAACATTCAGGCCGTATTATGAAACTAACTGCATTCTATCAATATGTGCCAACCGATTTCTTCGGTCCGGTCAACTTACCATTCGGCGAATCAGCTCCAGTATTCGCATTTCATGCATTTCCTTCCGAGCCCGGCATTCGCAAACTTCATCCCAACGACGGCTAAAAGTGCTGTCTGCGATAAGGGACATTGGTGGGCTGTTCATCGTCCTGAAGGTTAAAATACTGTCGCCCATTTCATGACTATGACTGAGAGAAATCCTAATTATCACAGTAAACCGCCGAGGATATTCAAGAGGCTTCAGTTTGGGCAATTATGTTGCGAAACATCTGTGAGCTTTTATAAAGCACATTATTTCGTGCAGGACAACTTCATTAACTACGAGCACTGGTGACAGTTGTGCTTAAATTATATTATTGCATCAAAAGTGTGGTATAATTTACAAAGTGTTTGAGTTGTTGCCCTATTATGTTTATTAATTCATGTTATGGAGAGCGAAAGCGGCGTAGAGCCACGGCCTAAGGCGCCAAACAAAGGACCAAGTCGGCGACGTGAGTCACGCGCGAAGTTAGACAACCGACCGGCGCGCACTGCAGCGCCGAGCACGCGTGGTGGTTTTGCTCAC